TTGCTGTTTACTATTTTAAGAAACTCAAAGGTTTTAAAGTTTAATGCCTCATTACTGGACAGAAAGTAAATATACTGGAAACATCAGTCACCTTAGCCCCCATTGTGGGGATGAATTTTATTTGATTTTGGAATTAAGGCAAGGTTAAGCAAAAACAAATTGAATGTTCGGTGAATGAGCTCACCATCAAAAGGTTTCTGCAGAATAATATGTTTTTGCCCCTCATCTCAGATAAATCTTAAGATATGATAAGCCCTAAAGAAACATAATCATCACTATCTAAAGTTAAATGAGACAATGTTTAAATCGATTTAATTTTGTCTGTTTATGTACATTTTTAAAAATCTTTTAAAACGTACTCAGGTTGAAATAGCATGCCTGACACTGGTTTCTCCTTCCAGCAATGTTTCAAAGGACAAAACTGGATGGTTCTCTTTTCTGTCACATTTAATTTCCTTCACGCTATCAGGCACTGCAACAACTGCAAGTCAGTCAGGAATGTGTTAAAACAAACATATTTCTCTTTTAAAAAATGATCAACAGTTATTGGACTTTATTTTCCCCTCAAAGGAAGGGACACTAACAAGACTTGCTCCAACATTTACAGCAGTAGGTAAGAGATAAGTTGGTCACTGGATAGATAAGTCACATAGGCAGAGGCAGCAGTCAGCTACACATTCTGAACCTTTTACTTCACCCTGGCACATTGGAAAGCTATTCTTTGAAGTACATCTTTTAATCCCTTTCTGATAGCTGACCCTGATCAAGAGAGTTGGAACTATTAAAAAGGTCATGATTTTGGTTATAAAATGACATATGATGTGCTGAAGTGCCAAAGTACTGATTGAAAGTGAACAAACAAGTATTAAAGTCATCCCATCATTACTCATTCAGTCATTTGAATCTTTAAGATGACATGTTCAGGGCTCCTCATTTGTCAGGATATTTTGCTGCTAGAGGTTGTGGTAGATGATGTATCCAAGGCATCAGACTGTTCCCGACAGCTTGGGAAAGCTTATGTAAGGATGTTGTTGTGATGTAGCCCAGTGAGTACTTAATGAATAGATTGTTATAGGCTCTCTGACCACAAGAATGAGGAACACTCAGTGATAGCAAAAAAGAAACAGATGGATTGCTTCAATGGTGCAAACATCCTTGCAGGACGTGGGGTAAGCATGGACCCAAATGCGGGCACCTCAGAGGCTGCAAAGTGGATGCAAGTCTGCTTTGGCTGAGAGCCAAGTACATCTCTTTTGCATTTGGCTGGTCCAAAAGATTCTTTTATAATCATCTAACATTTAAAGATGTAGGAAAACATGTTCATTTATCAATTTAGTTGCTGTAGAAAGTTTCCATTATCTGAAGAACCATTTTGATAATCCATTTCTGCGAACCCCATCATAGACAGTATTAATGTAGAATTATACCAAATATGTAAATAATTGTAGTCTTTATGCCAGAAACATTTCTGATGCACTGAAGGACAATGTCAATAAAGTTTTGACTGATCTAAAGATTTGAATGTTCTTTTTGGAAACTACTAAATAACTTCATCTCAAAATGTTTTTAACCATTGCATATACAGATTGAAATATGAAAATAGAAGAGTTTGAGCTTTTTTTTTTTTTCTTTTTGGTACAGGATTCAATTTTTATTTCATTAATTTACATAGTCCGTTCAATATTCTGGGTGAACTTGTCCAGTCTCTCTTTTCTGATTAAAGGTCACGGACCTGAAACGTCAATTGCTTCTCTCTTCATATATTCTGCCTGACCTGCTAAGTATTTCCAGTACTTTGTTTTTGCAACTTTTTTTGTAACATTTAACTAAACTTCATTGTTGATGCATGCCTTAATGAGATTTCCCAATTCCACTCAAAACTCATTTCTATGGAGCAGTGACTTCAGACCTCTAATTGTTGCTCATCACTAGTTCTCTTTATAGTTGGGATGTGTGTGTTTGATTTTTTTCTTAGCAAATTGGCTGTTGCTTTACTTACATTACACAAGCAACTGCAAATCAAAAGTAGTTAATTGGCTATGGAGTGCTTTGGGACATTAGAATTGCTGTTTAAATGGGAAAACAGGTAACATATACACAATGTGGGTAGGAATGGTGACAGCCAACCGAAAATCCCATTGATATTTAGCCATCTCTAAATGACCTATGTGATGCATGCCAATTTAGATTGCAGAGGTGGATTTTTGTTATACAATTTCCAAACTGCTGCATGTCTATATGTTAATACTTTGTCTTCTGATTAAACAGCACTGTATAAATGCAAGTGCTTAGAAATAATGCACCATACACTCAGTGCACTGGAAAATGTATGGGATGCTCTCAAGTCTGAATGACTACATAAGCTTCCAGCACAGGCAAATATGCCCTTTGCCAGATACCTCAGTCCTTTAGATCCTGCTAGAATGCAAACTAACAGTTGTTTACCAGCAACGAACCAGACTGGTAAAGGAATCAGTGCAAACAGTATTCACTTCATGCAGTTCCAACTTTTACCATCTCAAAAATATATTCGGGGCTTTGTAGCAGCTACCAATTCTAAAATAAAAACTAACTTTAAAGGAAGAACAATTGATCCCAATGATTTGCAATTTGCATCAAACAGCCCATGATACTTAAGGGAACACTTTTTAAATGCAATTTATTCACTTTTAGTGGAATCTTAATTACATCATTCAACACTGACAACTGTGTTCCAATTGTGCAGAGAACAAAACATTCCTTTACAAGGTAATTGCACAACATCAGTTATTACAAGATCAGAAAGGAACTGAACACAAGTATTCTGCCCTAGTCATACCCTCCATACCCCAATTTATTTTAAATTGTCCAACCCCATGGAAGTTTGCTCTGATCAGCAAGCCAATTTCAATACCCAAATGTGTATGACTTTGGTGTGTTTCAGATCTCTCAGTCTGCTTTCAAAATTGGAAAAGTAGGCCGTTTCTTAAAAGCATGATACCCATCATGCAGACCGAGAGAGATGCAAGTGAGAAGATCCATAATCAACCACAGCTTGGATTACCTGCACCTTCAAATGGTCCATCGCCTAACTGGGACATTTCCTTTGGAGAAGTCTGTTCAGAGCAGCATTTATCTTCACTTCTTCACAAGCAGAGCAAAGATATTCAACCTGCAACCTCCCCTCTCACCCCCACCCATCCCTCCCACCCACTTCCGTAAGCCAAGCAATCATTTGGCTTCCATCACAGTATGGTGTACATATTGCACACATTTAACAGGTTTTGTTCATGGGACTGCGCTTTAAACAAAGTCTGTGAAATCATCCACAGTGGACATTAGCCTTTTTCTCTGGCCTGTTTCCGCATTGGCAGACTGTGATGGTTGCTGTTGCTGCTGAGAGTGTTGTGGAGCATAATGGTGGTGAGGAAGGTGCTGCTGCTGTTGATGGTGGTGATGATGGTGATGGTGGTGAGTTTTACTCTGACCAGCAGCGTGCATCGGAATCAAGGAAATTCCAGCATTCTGACGATACTGCAGGTCTTCGTACACCTAGGTAGAAAGAGAATATTTAATTTTTGTTCCAGAAACTTTGGACTAAGAAATACTTGAACCTGCCTGTATCCACGCTCATGTTTAACTTTTTGAAGCTGTGCTCAATTACTAATTTGGATATATACATACATATGATACAATCTTGGTATGCTGAGGTCAATTTCAAAGTTTGCTGGACAACACAAAATTTGGGAGAATTATAAATTGAGAGGAAGGGTGGAATTTCGAAAGGACATTGACACATTGGTGGAGTGGACAGACAGGTAGCAGATGAAGTTCAAATGTGGAGAAATTAGAGATGATAAACTTTGGTACAAAGAACAGAGAGCCAATATACATCAAAGGGTACTATTCTAAAGGAAATACAGGAGCAGAGAGATCTAGGTGTACATGTGCAAAAGATATAAAAAGGTGGCAGGACATGTAGAAGGAGCTGTTAGAAAAAGCATACTGTATTTAAGGCTTCACTAATAAGGCAAAGAATACAACAGCAGGAAGGTTATGCTGAATCTATACTGTACATTGGTTAGACCTCAGCTAGAGTATTGTGCACATTTCTGTGTGGCCAATTATTGGAAGAATGTGAATGCATTGGACAGAGTGTCAAAGAAATTTAGGAGAGGGGCGAGACACAAGAAAAGACTGAAGAAACTGGGATTGCTTTCCTTGGAGATGAGAAGTCTAAGAGGAGATCTGAAACAAATTTACAAATTCATGACAGGCCTGGACAGAGTGGATAGGGTGAATTTGGTCCCTCAAACAGATTAAAACTATGCCCTCTGGTTCTCAAAGTGCTTCTGGAAAAGAAGAAAATGTTAGGTAAGAAAAAGCTTTATCACACAGCAAGTGGTGTAGGTTTGAAATGCACTGCCTTGGGGTATAGTGGAGGCACAATTAATTCAGACATTCTAGAGGGCATTAGATTCTTTTTATTGGAAACAAACACACAGGGTTACAGGAAAAAGGGTGGAGATTGGCACTAAATCAAAATGTTCAGAAAGCCAGTGGTGACACAATGGGCTGAATGGCCTTGTGCACCTTAGCAATTCTGTGATTTTGCAGCAGATGGTGAGGGAACCAAGAAGAAAAAGTCTACTTGATCGCTTCCTCATCAATCTACTTGCTGCAGACACATTCATCCAAGACACAATCAATAAGACTGAGCAGTGCACATTCTTTGTGGAATTGAAGTCCTATTCTCGCTCTAAGGAGACTCTCCATCATGTTGTGTGCTACTACCACCACGCTAAATGGAACAGACTCCAACAGATCTAGCAACTCAAAAGTGGGCATCTATGAGGCACCATGGACCATCAGGAGCAGCACAATCTGTAACTTCAAGGCCCAGCATATCCCCCTCTACCATTACCATCAAGCTAGGAAATCAATGCTGGTTCAATGAAGAGTGCATGTGAGGAGCAGCACCATGTTTACGTAAAAATGAGGTTCTACCTGGTGAAGCGACAACACAGGATGACTTGTAATCTAAACAGTGGAAGCAGAATGCAATACAGAGGTTCAGTAACCCCACAACCAATGAATCAAATCTAAGCTTTGCAGTCTCCTAGAGGTGGACAATTAAACTTTTAAACAGGAGTGGAGGTTCCACAAGTATACCAATCTTCAAAGTCATGGCAGCCCAGCAAACTAGTGTCACAGAGAAGTATTTATGCTCATCTTCAGCCAGAAGTGCTAATGAATGATCCAACTTGGCCTGTACTCGAGCAGATGTCAGTCTTCAGCAAATTGATTCACAGCACACGATTTCAAGAACCGACTGAAGACTCTGGAAAACTAGGTGTCCTGGCAACATTCCAGCATTACTACTGAAAACATGCACTGCTGAACTAGCTGCAACCCTATCCAAGTTTTTCCAGCAAAGCGACAATACTAGCATCAACCCTATAGTGTGCATCTCCTGTGCACAAAAAGCAGGAGAAATCCAACAGTCACCTTGCAACTTATCATCAAAGTGAAGGACAAGTTTACTGACAGTGCTATCAAGTAACACTTGCAAAGGCATAATATTCTCAGTTTGGGTTCAACTAGGGCCAGTCAGCTCTTGACCTTGTGATAGCTTGGGTCCAACCATGGATAAAATAGCTGAACTCCAGAGGTGAGGGGAGAGCAACTGTCTTTGACATCAAGGCAGCATTTTACAGGTAATGCCATTGCACAGTCCTACAAGACTAGACTTGATGGGAACTGGGGATAACTTCTCTGCTGGTTGGAGTCATAACTGGCACAAAAGGGCGATGGTTGAAGTTGTCAGAGGTTGATCACTTCAGCTCCAGCACATCACTGCAGGAGTTCCTCAGGATAGTGATCTCAGCCGAACCAGCTTCAGCTGCTTCAATGACCTTCCTCTACCGCAAGGTCAGCAGTCAGGATGTTCACTAATGGTCGCAAGATACTCAGCACCATTTGTGACTGCTCAGATACTAAAGCAGTCCATGTTCAAATTCAAAAGGCCTATGCAAGAAGTGGCAAGTAACATTCATGCCACGTAAGTGTCAGGCTATTAGCATCTCCAACAAGAAAATCTAACCACTGCTTCTTAACGTTCAATGGTATTACCATCACCAAATCTCCTATTATTAACATCTGGGGATTACCACTGACCAGAAACTCAACAAGATCTTTGTGTTTGAAGAGCTGGCCAGAGGCTAGGAATTCAGCAGCGAGTGACTCACCACTTTCACTAATATCTTCAAAGCACAAGCCAAAAGTGTGATGGAGTACTCTCCACCTGCCTATAGGAATGCAGACTCTACAACATTCAAGTAACTTTACACGAACCAGGACAGAGCAACCCATTGGACTGGCATCCCATCTACCACCTTCAACGTTTACTTCCTTCTCTACTGATGCACAATGACAGCAGTGTATACCATCGACGAGATGTATTGCAGTAACTCACCAAGGCTCCTCCAACAGTACCTCACAAACCTGTAACCTTTGTCTTTCTAGATGATAAAGGCAATAGACATATGGCAACACCACCACTTGCAAGTTCTCCTCCAAGCCACACAGCAATCTGACTGAGAATAATATCACACTTTGTGTTGCAGGGTCAAAATTCTGGAACTCACTTCCTAACTAACTGTGGGTGTCTTGTCACTCCCAAGGACTGCAGAGGCTCAAGAAGGTAGCTCACCACCATGTTTTCCAGGGCAATTAGGGATGGAGAACAAATGATAGCCTACCCTAGTCAGCAATGCCCATATCTTGTGACAGAATTTTAAAAAACTCAATTGGTTTATGTCAGTGTTTAGGCCACCTATGAGCCTCTTCCCTAATCCACTCCCCTCACCCCAAATATTTTCATTAACAATCTTCTACTCAGGACTGAACCTCTGAGAAGCTTCTCCACCTATTATGTTTTTTTTATTCATTCACAGGATGAGGGTGTCGCTGGCCAGACAGCATTTATTGCCCATCCCTAATTGCTCAGAGGGCAATTAATAGTCAACAACATTGCTGTGGGTCTGGAGTCACATGTAGGCCAGACCAGGTAAGAACAGCAGTTTCCTTCCCCAAAGGACGCTGGTGAACCAGATGCGTTCTTCCTGACAATTGACAATGGATTCATGGTCACCATTAGATTCTTAATTCCAGATATTTATTGAATTCAAAATTCCACCATCTGCCGTGGGGGGATTCGAACCCGGGTCTCCAGATTAACAGTCCAGCGATAATACCACTATGCCGTCACCTTCCCTCGAGGCTGCTTCTCTCCTGAGCTTATTTCTGACAGGGTAAGTGATGAGCCATCAGTAGCAAACATGAGACAGATCCAGCCTGAGCTTGGTGGAGCAGCAAGGAGGCACGAGATGGTGGTGGTGAGGTAATCCAGGGCCTGACATGCACAAGTTGTTGGGCAGAGCAAGACAAGACACAAAGGGGTGGCTGGGAAGACAGATGTGGAGACCACTGGAGCCTTATTTTTGGCTTATAACTAGAATGTCTCTTTATTTACATAAAACTTTCAATATTTGTGTTTAATAAATAATGTTTTCATCCTGTTTCAAGCATAAAATTGTACTGCTGGTTATTTTTAAATTGAAACACTTAATTCCAAAGGGGCTACATACCAGCATGTACAAATTCAGTTCACAGATCATTCTGACATACCCACTGCATTGTCTTTTCATAGCTGACAAGCAATTGGCCATATCCATACCTTAGATCGAATCCGTTTGATCTGTCGCAACCTAGCTAGCCACTTGGATGCATAGGCTTCTGAAGGAACTGCACTGTTGTGGTGTACAAGTGAAGCCATCTAGTGTAAACAACAAAACATCATTCACAGCATTGTAATTTCAATGTAACTAGCAACAGAACAGTTTACCAAACCAGAAACTCTCATCTGTGTCTATAAACGATAGCAATTCAGAATACAATTAAAATCTTCAATCTGAAAGAAAAACACAAGAGCATTTAATATTCCAGACGAACACTGAAGGATAGTAGCTTGACAGGTTGTTGAGGTTGGTTGGCTCGCCGAGCTGGTTTGTTGTTCCGCAGACGTTTCGTTACCGTGCTTGGTAACATCCTCAGTGCAGCCTCCGACGAAGTGTCGGTATGTTTTCCCGCCTGGTTTTTAAACTCTGGGGTCCGTTGCAATGGATTGCCTCACTTCCGGGTTTCCTCCGTAGTGGAATGTATATGGGGTCGGGTTCAATATGTTTATTTAATAGCATGCTTCGTGGAGTGCCACGCTTCCAGGAATTCTCATGCTTCTCTCTGCCTAGCCTGTCCCAGGATCTTGGTGTTGTCCCAGTCGAAGTCGTGGTTCTCCTTGTCCATGTGGATTGAGATGAGTGAGTACTGGTCGTGTCTTTTTGTAGCCAGTTGGTGTTCATGTACTCTTGTTAGTTTCCTTCCTGTTTGTCCGATGTAGTGTTTCTCGCAGTCTCTGCAGGGGATCTTGTAGATGACACAGGTCCTGTCCATGGCGGGGAGTGGGTCTTTAGTTCGGGTGAGCACTTGTCGTAGGGTTGATGTGGGCTTGTGTGCCACTCTGATGCTCAGTGGTCATAGAAGTCTTGTGGTGAGTTCTGACGTGTTCCTGAAGTAGGGTAGTGTGATGAGTGTGTTGGGGTGTGTAGAATCTTTCTGATGCTGTTCCTGTAGGCATATCCTGACCCAGTTCTTTGGATATCCATTATCCTTGAACACTTGGAAGATGTATTCCTCCTCCTCTTGGCGTAGTTCCATGTTGCTGCAGTGTGTTGTTGCTCTTTTAAATAGTGTTCGCACGCAGCTTCGTTTGTGTGTGCTGGGATGGTTACTATTGAAGTTCAATACCTGGTCTGTGTGTGTGGCTTTTCGGTGTACTTTCGTTTGCAGTTCCCCATTTGTCTTGCGCTCTACCATGACTTCCAGGAATGGGAGTTGTTTGTTCTTCTCCTCCTCTCTGGTGAATTTTATTCCAGTGAGGGTTTTGTTTATGAGTTTCTGTCTCTCTTCCAGGCAGGAAAACACACCGACGCTTCATCGGAGGCTGCACTGTGGATGTTACCAAGCACGGTAACGAAACGTCTGCAGAACAACAAACAGCTCGGCGAGCCAACCAACCTCAACACCCACAACCCGAGCTACAGATCTACTCCACAACCTTAGAAGCTTGACAGGTTTAATCTTGCATTACATCATAGGAACAGTCTGAATTAGAAATGGTCCAAAATACTGGGAAGAAGAAATATTTTGAAAGCACCACAATCACTGCCTAGTGCTCTGCAGATCCTGGTAAAGTCAGCAATAGTTTTGTAAGTTATAAGCTCAGAAGATGCCAGTGTAACCGGAGAGAGGTATTCACATAAACCAAGGAAGTATCTGAATTTAAAGTTTCACATTGGCATTGAGCCTGAAGAATTGAAATACTTGGTAAAGAAGGAGTAACAAAAAAAAAGAAATAAGGTTCTCAACAATCTGACAAAGGATCGGTTTGATATGTCAGTCTCTAGCAGGCACCCTCACACAAAAGTGACCAACATCCAGTCTACACCTGCACATGTGCTGACGTCTGCCCCAAAATACACATCAAGAGGAACAATGAGATTGAAACGGGCATTAATTGATGTGAAGAGGCACACAGACATATAATGTCAATTACACTATTTACTGTCATAAGATTTTGGATATGGGCAGAAATCTACAATGAAAATTGAAATCTGGCCCACTTTGGTCTGCCTAAGTATAGCTAAACCCCTGATGTTCTAGTCACAAAAAAACCACAATGAAATAACATCCTTCTACTTACATTTGCATGCAGAGCCATTTGTCGCACTAACAGAGGAAGATTCTTGTCTGACACAATCCTAGCGACATTTGTGTCAACCAAGCCCTCCATATCTACAAGAGAGGAAAAGAAACCTGTATCACCTATTGAGAAACCATTTCCAATTTTAAAAAAAGTACATCTTTATAAGTAGTTTTCTCCCAATTATGTAGATGCTGGCATTCCATTTAATTTATACCACAGAAACAGACCATTCAGCACAGCTGATCCATGCTACTCCACTCACAGTTCCTTCTCTTCACTTGACCTGATCAGCATAATTTCCACTCCTTTCAACCTCATTTTCATCAGCATCCTCTTGCATCCATCCTATTTGCCTCAACTATTCCTTTCAGTAGCGGTTCCAAATTTTGATTCACTGTCTAGTACTCACTTCCACAAATATAAGACAACACATCGAAACATGATGTTGTTAAAGATTCACTTTTGCATTAATGTAGTGAATTGATAGAATGCATTACTTGAACAAGAAGGTTGCAAATATTACTCCATATCTTGGATGCATAACCCAGCAATGTAAGAGTTAATGCATGTCACTTTCTTAAATGCTTTGGGATGTTAGGAATGCTCAGTACAGACATAAAATGCAATCTTTTGCCTTAAAATGTAGCAATTCACATTTATACTGACATGTTGAACTTCGTGCAGGATTAAATAGTATTTCATAAAAATAAATCATGTTTAGGCATTTAAAGCACCTTGTTTTTGAATATATGTAATCAGAAAAGATTCATATTTAGCATGCAAAAGTAGAGCAATTTAGTAGTACCCTGGTGAATATTTAATGTTAGAAACTGGCAAAAATGAGTGGTAGTATATGGGGTACACATCATTCATTTCAACATAAATACAAACTTTATAATGAGGCGTTACAATAATCAGCACCTTAAATCAGTCACTTACCTTTTCGTGCTTGTAAGGTCACTAGGTTGCTCTCAAAGTCTAGAGGTTTAATAATTATTTCAACAAAGTTAAACTGACCCTATTAAAATTAACAGGAGAGAAAAGAAACAGAAAGCAGTTCAGACTGTGGGCTTCGAAAAAGCAGGTCTAATACAAATCAAACTTGATAAAGGCAACCTGTTTGTATATGCTGCAAAAGTGAACACACAATTCATGGCAATAAAAGGAATAGCACATCACATGACACTACATGGTATGAAGCAGGCGGCTGCGCCAAATGTAGAATTTACATTGCTTCAATAATTTTATAGTTATACAAATTTCACCAAAAAGTCAACAATTATGCTGAGAGATAATCTACTGATTTCAAAGCACACCCCCAAATTCACTGAGGATTACACTAAAAAGTTAAATGGGAACATAATCATGAATATTCTAATCTTGCAAATATAATTGGAGTACAAGAATCAAGTACACAGAATATACAGCACATTTATCCCTTATGGTCCATTCTGATGTTGATGCACCACAAGGCAAGCCACCATTATTGACCTATCAGCATTTCGTTTCTTTCCTTCTTCATGTACAGCTGGGATTTCCTTGTTCTATAGATCCAAGGGGACTGGAAAATAGTGGGGAGTCACATCAGGACAGCTCCCTGTGCATTCCTGTTTCCGGGACAGACTGGTGACTGAATCAGCCGCCCATTCCACACAGGAAAGCAGTAACTAGTCCAATTAAGACCACGTGGGCGATTTTTAGCCACTGCTGGTAGTTTACCAATGTTGAAGTGACCCTTTGCCATGTGTGCCAAGGCTGCCAGCTCAATCAAGGGTACCTCCCAGTGGCAGGTCAAGAGGCATCAGAACTGGAGGTTCCATGCCCCAAGTGATGGAGTTAAGGAGATGAATGGCTACAAGTCAGAAGATGAATAGGCCTGTGGGGGCATTGTTCCTGCAACACAATGGCCTGATAGACATCAGGAATGTCCAGTACGTTGCTTCTGTGTTGGCCAACAGGTTGCCTCCCTCTGATGAGGTTGGGAGCTCTAAGAGCCCATCCACCACCTTTAATAATGGGGCAAGCACAGAGAAGGCCATATCCTGGAAGACTGGAGTGTCAGACTCACTGGTGGTAACAGCAAGTTCCCCGTTTGGTTGTGACGCTGAAGTCTCAAAGCTGTTGGGAAAATCAGCCTGAATTTATCTATCCTCCCATTAAAAATCATCAATATTCTACACCTTAACTCCGCCTTGTGGCAGCATGTTCCATATTTAACACTTCCTTTATCCCCTGTTATAAGCTCTATTTTTAAAAAAAAATTTAATCAACCCATTCAGAGATGTTAATACATACCTGTGGAGCAGATGGGACTTGAACCTTGGCATCCAGGACCAGGGGTAGGGACACTACCACTGTGCCACAAGAGCCCTGCTCTGGCTTGACAGGTTCCTCCTGAATCTACAAATTGGATTTATTATTGACTGACTTGTAGTTATTGTACCTACATCAGGTCTCCACACAAAGGGAAGGGGTGGGGGAGGGTCGAACGGGGAGTGGGGGAGGATGAACAGAGTGGAAGATGATGAGAGAAAAGAGATACAGAAATTGAAAAAAATAAATTACCTTTATTGTTCCTAGTTTGTATTCTTCCTCAGTGTCCTTATAGATCACGACCACATAGTCATTCCCTATGTGCCGTTTCTTATTGCAGCAGGCTTTATCGGATTCTTTATTTGGCATCAGGGTCGCAATGTGAAAAATTGCTTTAATTATGTTGGAGAAAAGAAAACTTCATCAGTGCACAAGAAAATGCTGGAGGACTGGAGAAACTCTAGTTTTATAAATGGTTATTCAGACAACTGTGAAAAATGGACCATATCGGTTCAGTAATATATTCAATATCCCTCCCAATGAAGACCAGCTGGAATAAATTGTTGGTCTTTAATAATAACCATAGACTTCGAAATGATCAAAAAAAAACTGGTTTACTAACATCCTTTTGGGAAAGAAATCTGCCATCCTTACCCAGTCTGGCCTTCATGCATCTACAGATGTACAGCAATATAGTTGATTCTTTACTGCCCTCTCAAATGCCTGAGCCAGTCATACAGTTAAAGGGCAATTAGGGAAAGGGTGAATTGCCAGCATCGCCCTTCCCAAGGACAAAAAAAAAAAGCAAAATTCATGTGTGACGGGCAATGAACACGTTAATCAAGGCCATTCATTTTACATAATTGTCCAAATTTGAAAAAGCATCCTACTATGTCCCTCCATATCTCCAAACTGAAATTTTCAGACTTGTTTTACATCAAAGTATCTTGCTGTTACAAAGTAAACAGTCTTCTGACATTGGGGCTTTTCATTTCTGAATTTGAGTCAACAAATATTTAGTGAAATCAGAAGTAAAAGAATAAGTTACTCTGGGGCAATAGTAAGTAAAACCCATTTTAAAAATACTTATTATGATCATCACAAAATAGAATACTCAATTCAACAAGAATTTCTTTCTTTATTGGCTCAAACAGCTGTAGACAATGGGAATACCCTCTCCATCAGTTCATTCCTTCCGAATTGGGTGTGACTGAGCCAAAGAGGGGTGCCAGGACTAACATAGGGTGAGAAAAGAGATGAAGTGATCCCTTAACTGAACAGGAAAACTAACCACCTGTCACATTTGCGTCTGCTAACATTAATGAGTCAAGTTGAGCAAGGACAGGGTACTTAATACATAAACCATATCATTTTAAAGGTTAAGTGGAGCTTAATATTTGAATGGATGAATATTCATTAACGTTTTGGAATCTTGCCTGCTTAACTGGCATTCTTCAGACTCAAAAATTAGGATCTCAAGCTCAAGCGATAGAGAATAGGACTCCCTGGAAAGATCAACTGCTGTAACACTGTGTGTGCACTTTTCTATTAAGCACAATTACTTTTCCTACTATAGACTGAAAGTTAACAGGTTTATGATTCCTGGACGTCAGCTGTGTCAAGTACCAGTGTCAGTCATTGCTCAGTTTGCAGCACTCTCGCCTGAGTCAGAAGGTTGTGGGTTCAAGGTGCCCTCCTGGAGTTGAGTGCAATAGTCTAAGATGACACTCCTGTGTAGTGCCGAGGGAGTACTCCACTGTTGGAGATGCCGTCTTCAAGTTGAGATGTTAAACCAAGGCCCCATCTGCCCACGCAGCCGGATGTCAAAAATCCCACAGCACTATTTCAAAGAGGAGTTATCCCCTGTGTCCTGGCCAATATTTATCCCTAAATCAATATCAAAAAACAGATTATCTAGTCATTATCAATCACGTTGCTATTTGTGGGGAAATTGTTGATTGTAAATTGGCTGCTGCATTTCCTAACTTACAGCAGTGAATACATTTAAAGTATTATTGATTGAAAAGCTAATTTGAGACATCTTGTGGTCATGGAAGGTGCTACATAAATGCAAATACTTATTTCCTTCTGAGATATAATCTCAGATTTTGGTAACATGTCACCAAAAGAAATGGGGGCAAAGATGAGAAGACACAGAACAAACTACAACAGTTATTTACTGCTATTCTTAATCTGAAAAAACTTCTCCACTATCAGTATTCCAGTTTTGTCCAAAATCTACCTGCATTTGTATAGCACTTTTATATTAATAAAATAGTGCATTAACTAAAATCGCCAGATGGTCAAAACCTTGATGAAAAGATAGTTGGGGGGGTGGTGGGGAGGGAGGACGAGAGAGAGAGAGAGAGAGAGAAAGAAAGAAAGAGAGATATGGCGATGTTCGGGAAGGGAATTGCGTAGCTCAGCACCTTAGCAGCTGGATGCACAGACACCAATGATGGAGTGATGAAAATCCAGGATGCATGAGAAACCAGAATCAGAGAAATCTTAGGGGATAGTAGAGCTGGGTAAGTTTTGATCATTACTCACTTTCTTTGTCGGATTCAAATTTGAAACAGTGAACAGCAGCAATGCTACGTCATTGTTTAAGTGCCATGGCAAGTAGTGTGGGTGACCATGCACTAACCATAGATACTAGGGAAAGGAAAGCACGTGTTGCTTTGCTGCTTCTTTCCTCCGAGAGTCACACAGTCAGACAGCATGGAAACAGACTCTTCAATCCAACTACTCCATGTCAACCATGTTCCCAAATTAAATTAGTCCCACCTGCCCACATTTGGCCCATATCTCTCCAAACTTTTCTTATTCATGTACTTATCCAAATGTCTGTTAAATGTTGTAACTGTACCTGTGCCCACCACTTGCCCTGGCAGTTCATTCCACACACTAACCACTACATAAAACAAAAAGTTGCCCCTCATGTCCTTATTAAATCTTTCTCCTCTCACCTTTAAAATATGCCCCTTAGTTTTGAACTCCCATATCTTAGGGAAATGACCTTGGTATTCACCTTATCAATGCCCATCATAACTTTATAAATCTCTACAAGGTCACCCCTCAACCTCCTACACTCCAGTGATAAAAAGTCCCAGCCTATTTTTATAACTCAAACCCTCCTTTCCTGGCAACATCCAGTCTGAAAGAAACAAATTTTCCCCACAGGGGGTGCTCCACCTACCATCAATCAGCCTTTGAAGTTGTAGCTCCTGTCTTCATTACCATAGGATCTGCTGGATCCACCACGAGTCCACCACTCAAGCCAAGCATAGAACCCATCCAGGTCTACCAAACAACTGGACATGGGCTCACCAAAAACAATCTACCAAACCTCAGCAAGGCTATCCCTGCTATCCTCTCAGCCCTGTGTGGCAAGCTATACTCATTTACCTTGCATGATGTCGTCATGCCAACAGTAGGTAAACTGCCCATCATCACCATATGTGTCAAGACCACCGAGGAAAATTTGCTCTGGGTTACAGTCTTGGAGATAGATCAATTTGCCAAGGCCTGTAAGGAACTGTGCGTACCTGGATGAGCCATATGCATTGGACAGAATTTCAACTTCATTATTAGTCTGAAAGATAAGACAATAAAACTCAAATTAAACCAAGGGTTTATTCAAAACATTGAGGGTTTACTTAAGATGCTGAAGCTTGGTGTGCAAGGCAAAATACACAAGAGCACGAAACATTCAAGCTAGTTTCTAGGACTAATTTCAATGAGAATATTATGGAACAGATGGTGTGTGAAATAGGGATTACTTACCTGACATTATCAAGAAAATCAGTGACTAATGGGCTCCATGCAGGAATCCTATAACAGATTATTTGTGCCATTTATCAATCACTTAATTTAGGACAAATGCTAACCTTAAGTTTCTTTTGACAAAACATAAGGAAAACACTCAGTAAAACATGCCAAAAACAGAAGTATTTTGGACAATGGCCCAGATCCTACTGTCTGCAACAATGCTGATCACTGCTGACTGACAAGATGGTTTTGCAGCAATATCTTTGCATCCTTCCCGTCAGGATCTCAGTCCTGACAACAGAAGCGATGGATCAACACAGCCAGTCACTGAAAGCATTGGCAAAAAGAAGCAGAGCAGAATATCTATATTCAGGTGCTTAAAGATTTCAGTGAATAGGTGAGAAGCTTCTCACCACCACGTGCTCCACCAAGGGGAGCATTCTTTGCTGTCTACCCTATCGATGTCTCTGAATTTTATACATCTCAATCATGCCCCATCAGTCTCCTCTGCTCCAAGGAACATAACCCGTCTATTTAATCTCCCTTCAGAACTAAAACACCCCAGACCAGGCAACATCCTGGTAAATTTGGAACAAAAACAAAATTGCTGGAAAAGTTCAGCAGGTCTGGCAGCGTCTGTGAAGGGAAAAACAGAGTTAGGACAGAAAACAAAACTGTGGAAGCGTCACCGGACCCGAAATGTTAACTCTGTTTTCCCCTTCACAGATGCTGCCAGACCTGCTGAGCTTTTCCAGCAACTTTGTTTTTGTTCCTGATTTACAGCATCCGCAGTTCTTTCAGTTTTTATCCTGGTAAATTTTCTTTGCAATGCAATCACGTCCCTTCTATGTAATGTGGCTTCCAGAGTGCACACAATACTCTAGCTGTGGCCTAACAAATGTTTTATACAGTTCAAGCAAAACCTCCCTGCTCTTAAACTCTATGCTTCAGCTAATAAAGGCAAGTATCCCATTTGTCTTCTTAACCATTTGAACCCCTGATACCTTAAGGGACTGGTGGAAAGATACACCTAGATCCTTCTGGTCCTCCGTGGTGCTTCCCACAGTCCTACTGTTTACTATTTTTACCTTGCCATTTTTTGTCTTACCTAAGTGAGTCACCTCAGTTATTTTGATTGTATTCCATTTTCCACTCATCAGCATGTTGTTATCCTCCTCACTATTTACCAACCCACCAACTTTCATATCAGTCGCAAAACAACCCTACTACTTTCAAGTCTAAATCATTTACATATACCCCAAACAGCAACAGCCCCAACACTGATCCCCACGGAATCCCATTGGACACAGTCAAACAAAAAATCCCTCCACCATTGCTCTCTGCTACCTGTCACTCAGCCAACTGTTTCCAATTAGCCAAATTTCCTTGGATATCCTGGACTCTTACTTACACTACCAGTTTCCTATGTGGAACCTTATCAAAAGCCTTGCTGATAGTTAAGCAGACAATGTTAACTGCATTGCCCTCATCAACACCTAGTCACCTCTGAAAACTGAATCAAGATGGTTAAACACGACCTCCCCTTAACAAAGCCATGCTGACTGTTTTTGTCTCTTCAAGTGCGGATTAATTCTGTCCCTCAGAATTGCCTCCAGTACGGTGCCCACCACTGAAGTTAAGACTAACTGGCCTGTCATTACCTGGTTTACCTCTATCCCTCTTCTTGACTAACGGTACCACGTTGGCTACCTTCTAGTCCTCCGGCACCTCTCCTGTGGCCAGAGGGCAATTAAAAATTATCACCAGCAGCCTACTATTTCCTCTCTTGCCTTACTCACCAGCCTGTGATTCATTTCATCCAGTCCTAGAGATTTACCAACTTTTAGCTTGCTAGACCACTTAGAACGTTCAGTCTGTTTAAATAAATTTATCACAGATCTTCTCCCAGATTTCGATATCCACATTGCCCCTCTCACTAGTTAACACCAACACAATATATTCATTCAGAGCCCCACCTATGTTCTCCAGCTCCATGCATAAATTACCATCATGGTCCTTAAATAGGCCCTACTCTCTCCACAGTTAACTTTTCACCGAAGGTCAGTTGAACGGTGTCAGGGTGCAATTGGCTCAATGTGTTTGCGACGGTCGAGGCAAGTGGGCAGTCAGGTCGGGTAGGAATTTGGTTAGATGTCGGTCAGTGTGGTGGCTTGAGTGATGCTGTTACTCACTGGGTTGTAAAGATTAAAGTGTAACAAAGGCCAGTGCCTGACTGAGGATTGTGTATGCAGCCCAAGTCTCCGACATGGAGATAAATGTAAGAGACATTCAGGAAGTGCCCAGGGCAGTACAATTAAGCCCGTCAGAAGTTTAAACTCCCTGGATCCTTATAGCACTTATTTGCACATCAGGATTTCTGAGGGGTCCTGAAGGGCAAGACTGGCAGATGTCTTTACATTCATCATGTCAGCATCAGAAATTTGGTCCATTATCTTCTCATTTCCATTTGATCACATCCAATGGTGCTAAAACTGGAAATTTCAAAGCGGAGGCACGGACGGGTCTCCAAAAGAGGAAGGAGTGGGAAGTGAACTCTGATTGAAATGAAAACAGAAATTGTTGAAAATACTTAGCAAGACAGGTAACATTTGTGCAAAGATACAGAATTAATGCTCAGGCTGGTGGCCTTTCTTCAGAACCAGAAAAGAGCTAGCAACGTGACAGGTGTTAAGCAAATGCAGAGGTACAGAACTGGAGGGAATAACACCAACAGAAATGGTTTCAGATGGGTGGAAAGCAGGGTAAAATTAAATGAGATAAAGGATGATGTGCAAGCCAAAGAGCTATAGCAATGAAACAAGTAAAGAAATAAAAGACAGACCTAGAGGAAGTATAAATGGGAGTAGCAGACTCTTGCACATCGGCACGACATTAAATACTGTGGAGATGAATATCATGGGTCAAAATAATGGCTCATTGAGCTGGGAAAGGCCCTTACCTGTCCTTCTCCCACATAGACAACTCCAATCTTGTGTGTGTCATAAGGCGGCATCTGGTCCAGAACTTTAATGGCTCGTTCTGTGATCTAAATGTTTTTTTAAAGAACTGTTCATTAGTTACCTGTAGCTATCAGCATATGCCACATACATATGCAACAACCAGGTTTATATAATGTATAAATATTAAAGATACTTCCAGTTTTTTGTTTGCAAAGAGGTCCCACCATACATCTTCATAATTCAAGCCCGCATACGAACATGTTTCACTGCACATTCTTCACCAACGTACTGTGGAATGTTCTACCCAACACCATTGTGGTCATGATGACACCAACAATTCAAGGAAAAGGACTCATCATTACCTTCTCAAGCAACTGGTGTAAGCAACAAGTGCCTTAGTCAGCACAGTCTGCATCTTATCGACAAAGAGAATCACAGCACATCCATCCTGTTGCATTATGTTAGTTCTTCGTAAATGGTGCTCAACCAATCCAGTTACGCCTTGTAGCCTTGCAACTCTTTTCATTTTTTTTCAAATTTTTATTTATTTATTTTGAAAGTTATCACTGAAGCTGTTTCTACAAACCTGTCGGATAGTAAATTCTTGATCCGCAACTCCCCATAGAAAAATAAAAATTCTTATTCTTCTTCAGAAAGAATTCCAGGGTTTAAGTGCCCTACAACTGCTCCTATCAATTCCCAATTTTACTTCATTCTCCAAATAATACTCTTCCCTGGGGCACACAGCTTCTCTTACCCACATCTCCGGACATGGATCATGTTAAGACAGCTCAAAGCAAACTTCTTCAACCATTTCTTTTCAACTGACAGAGGCAAGTGCATCAAGTTTTTTTTAAAAACATGGAAATTGTGCTATGATTCAATAAAGAGAGGTTGAAACCTATCGCAACCCCAGTGTCAACAATATTTCTGCCCACTTCCTAAATACATATCGAAAAAACACTGCACACTCGCTTCATTGCAAAAGGAACAACATGCTCTGGAGTGGTGACCTAAAATTTAAACTTCACTCACCTCAGTCTTGGGTACAAGGAGGGGTTTGTTGGCCTCACTGCCAAAGAATGGTGAATGATACAATTGTAGGAATACAAAACTGCGAAGGAATAAAAAACACAAACAGAACACTTGTAGCACAGGTGACAGCCATTCAGCCCATCCTTTCCATGCCAGCTGAAGCCGTACAGTCAAACCCCATTTTTCATTTCAGTCTGCAGTCCTGTACGTTATAGCATTTCAAATTTTAAACCCACATATTGTTCAGATACAATAAGAATTTCTGCCTTTAACATTTGTTCAGGCACAGAGTTCCAGACCCATCTCCAGTGTCTAGGAAAAGAAACATTGCCTCAACTTCCCTCTAAAATTTGTTAATTTCTTTAAACTTATGCTTGTTACTGTTAAAGGAAAAGATTGTTCCAATCTACTCTAGCTGAGCCATTCATAATTTTAACCAACCTCACTAAAGCTCCTCTCAGCCATCTGTTTCAAATGAAAAACAACTCCAGCCTTTCTAAGGCTTCCTCTTTTCTTATATTGATCAAATTCAAGGTTCTATGATGATTTTAAATATACAGGCATTTGGGGAGCAAGTGCAGAAATTAATCAAAATCTGCAGCTTGCTACAGTGGCAGGATCACTGTATAACATCTTGGTGAAATTGTAGCAATGAACAGGGTTTTGGGTGAAAACACCCAGCGCCATGAAAAGCAGGCCAGTGGGACAGGTGCCCAAAACGAAGTTAGTGAAGATCCGTAAAGACAGGGGTGAGGGTGAATGAGTCTCTTAGCAGCTAACAGTCAAACAGTAAATCTTAGATAAGCTTCAGTTCATAGTGGATTGAAGATGGCAGGCAAGCCAGGAGAACATTGGAACTGCTCAGCCTGGTGCCAACAAACACATGCACAGGGTCTTAGCAGCAGACGGGCTGAAGCAGCAGACAGGTGAAAGCAAGGGGTCAGATCACTGATGTCGAAGACATGAGACTTGAAGTTTAACCAAGTTTGTCAAACAGGGCTACAAGTTTAAAAACCCATCTCGATCAATACAAGTATGGCCAGAAACTAGATGGAATCTGTAGTGAGGGAACAAAGTTTGTGGGGTGACGGTTGGCAAAAATCATTGATCTTGGAATACCCAATGCTTATTTGGAGCAAATCATAATTCATTAGGACTGTATGCCACATGAACAGGCAGTGGCATTGGGAGGGTTGAGGGAGCTGGTGGTGTGGTGGAGCCTGTCGTCATCATGTGAAACCTGGTACCATATCTTCAAATAATATTGCAGAGATGTGAAACAGGAATGGGGTCAATAAAAGATCCTCATATTCTACTGTCTCACAGGTGTGTCAGGCGTTTGCTCTTATTTACAAGCTTAAAGTAATTAGAGAGTCATACAGCATGGAAACAGATTTCAGTCCAACCAGTCCATGCCAACCAGGTTCCCATACTAAACTAGTCCTATCTGCGTGCATTTGGTCCATATCTCTCCAAACTTTGCCGATTCATGTGCTTATCCAAATGTCTTTTAAACGTTATAACTTGTACCTGCATCTACCACTTCCCCTGGAAGTTCATTCCACACACTAACCACTCTGTGTAAAAAGGTTGCCCTTCATGTCCTGTTTAAATCGTTCTCCTCTCACTTCAAAAACATGCCCCTTAGTTTTGAACTCCCCCAACTTAGGAAAAAAACCTCTGCTCTTCACCTTATCTATGCTCCTCATGATTTCATAAACCACTATCAGGTCATCCCTCAATCTCCTGTGCTCCAGCGCAAAAACGTCCTAGCCTATTTCTATAACTCAATCCCTCCATTCCCGGCAATATCCTGGTAAATCTTTTCTGAACCCTCTCTAATTTAATAATATCCTTCCTATAATTCATTCACAGTATCACTAAACTTTTACATTTATCATCTTTTAAAAATGGATTACAGTGATCCAAAGTATTCATTATTCAACATGGGAATTATCCCATGAAGATCTTCAGGAACTTTTGCATTCTTGTACTGTATTGACTTCGAGCGCGTGATAAATAGAACAATTTGCCAACATATATAATTGGGACTAATTTTTTATCCAATAGAACTACTGTTTGTTGGATCTTACTGTGTATGATAACAGAGACCACACTTCAAAACAGCTTCATTGGCTATAAAATGCTTTGTGACTGCCCATGTTTGTTGACAGGACTATATAAAACTCTTTTCATCAGTCTTTCTAAAGTCTTTCTACACACAAAGTAAGACCAAACATACCTTGGGCTAATCCCACTAATTTTTTCTGCATTTGAAGCTGTGGATCTGTTCTGAACACCATCACGTTGTGACCTTCTCTCCCTCCTTGATGGAGCAGAATCAGAGATAGTGTGGCCCCTGGGTCTGTACCGGTTTGGTGACTGAGGGGGTTCCTGACTTTCTGTTGGCTGCAGGGTGGTTTCGTTGGTTTCAAGTTTGCCATTTGAAGAGCATTCCTCTTCAATGCTTTCAGTGCGGCTTCTGGGCTTCCCTTCAGCCACAGGTTTCCCAGGGAGTCCCTCTTTCCCATTTAGTTCCGTTGCTTCTTGCAAGTTCTGAAGCTCTGGGGAGGAGCTGGACTTATTGAGAATTTGAACGTGGTCAATATTAAATTCTTCTTCTGAGGGATCCACAGCTAATGAAGATGGCACAACCTTTTCAGTTGCAATTCCCATAATCCCACTGTCCTCCACTGGAAGGATTTTGTCTTCCTCTTGACTGGAAGTTGATGACGACTGGGGGTGGAAGGAGCAAAATTACTGATTAAAGCCAACAGTTTATTAATTCAACATTAATGAAATTGTTTCAAAGTTTCGGCAACTGCAATAAGTTTATTTTAGTCTTTCTGAATTTGACAAACTGTTAAATATTCAGTTTTCACATTGTCCAGCTTTATCAAAGCATTTACCAAATTATATGGATTATGTGGGCTGTCTATTACAGGGAGCGGTGACATGTGTCGCCTTGCCCCCATAGCTGCCAAAAAACATATTTGCAAGATACAAATTTTAAAAATGACAAATGCACAAGGAAATACCATAAAGGACTGGCTAATTAAAAAAACTATGTCAGAGCACTTGGATAAGTTTAAGTAATCAAACAGAGTCAAGGGCGTAGCAAATTGGCATGGATAGAAGATGGAGTGGCTCAGAGGAAGCAGAGAGTAGGTACAAATAAGTCATTTTCAAATTGGCAGAAAGTAATAAGTAGTGTGTCACAAGGATCAGAGCTGGGATCTCTATTGTTTACAGCTGATATAAATGAAGAAGGAACAGCATTGCTAGGTTTGCTTGTGGTTCAAAGATTAATAGGACACTAATTTGTGAAGAGGGCTTGGAGACAAAAAAAAAAGTATACAGAGGTTAATCGAGTGCACAAGCATTGGGAAAATGGAGTATAATGTGAGAACAAGTGAAATTGAAAACTTTCCATTTTGACAAGACAAATTAAAAAAGTATATTATCTTAATGGTGACAGCCCAGAGATGCAAAAGGATCTGGATGTCCTTCTGCATGGATTGCAAAATGTTGGTACGCAGGTACAGCAAGTAATTAGGAAAACTAACAGAATGTCATCATTTAGTGTGAAGGGAATTGAATACAGAAGTGGGGAGGCTATGCTTCTGTTATACAACTGCTGATGATACTGCATCTCGAGTTGAGCACAGCAGTGGTCACCTTATTTAAAGAAAGGTGCAACTGCCTTGGAGGCATTCAGAAATTGTATACCAGTAACACATGGAGTAAGACAGTTGACTTATGAAGAAAGATTGGAAAAATCTAGGCATGTGTCTGCTGGAATTTAGAAGAGTAAGAAACAACTTGGTGGAAACAAGATCCTGGAAGGTCTTGATAGGGTGGACATGGAAGTAATATTTCCTCATATAGGAGAATCCGGAACTAAGAGTCACAGTTCAAGAATCAAGATGACCCACTTCTGAAGAGAATGGAGTTGAAATATTATTCCCCTCTGAGGGTTGAGTCTCTTTGCTGCGAAATAAAGGTGGTAGAAGTATAATTGCTGAATATTTTAAAAGCAGAGACAGATAGATTTTCTAAGCAAGGGGGTGAAAAGTTATCAGGGTAAACTGGAATGTGGACTTGAGCTTATAATCAGATCAGTCATGATCTTTTTGAATGGTTGAGCAGTCTCGAGGGTCTGAATAGACAACTCTTGATCCTAAGTTGTATATTTGTAGAAAATGGTAGCGTGAAGAGAGCAGAGGAATTCAAATTTGCCTAATAGCAGTTTACTTTTGTTTCTTTAGAATTTTGACTTCTCAGAACTTCCTGATGCCCCATTGACTTTAGAGCCAATGAAGCATCTTTGAACTTTAAAATGTCATCATAGTCTCAGAGAACTAGAGGGCTGCTCCCTAGGGAGAGATAGACAACGGGCGATGGTTCAACCTAGGCGTCACTATTCATCAAGCAAGGGGAAAAGAGGAGAAAGGGAGACCTTCATGGTAACTTCAGCCAATGCAGAAATTAAACCTGTGGCTTAAACTCTGCATTGCAAACCAGCCGTCAAGAATTCGAGTTAACTGACTCCACTTCAAAGCTTGAAGTGTATGCACTGCTGCAATACACAAAATGTGGCAACCAAACTGCACACACCAGCAAATGAAATCCACAAACAGCAATTAAATATATGACTCGGTAAAAACCGAAAGAACTGCAGATGCTGTAAATCAGAAACAAAAACAGAAGTTGCTGGAAAAGCTCAGCAGGTCTGACAGCATCTGTGAAGAAAAAAAACAGAGTTAATGTTTCGGGTCTGGTGACCTTTCCTCGAACTGTCTGCAAAGTTTTTGTATATGACTAGGTAATTTGTTTTCGCGAAGCTCAGGGAAAAATATTGGATGGGAGAACTCGCCTGCTCTTTTCAAAATCATGCCATCACGATCGTTAATATCTACCTTATGTGGCAGATGTGGTCACTGTGTAATATCTCATATGACTTAGACAGTGCAGCACTGTGCTGTGGTATCAGGTTAGATGCTCAAGTCCCTGGTATGGGGCTGAAGCCACAACCTTCTGACTCAGACATTAGTACTACATACTGAGCCAAGACTGACATCTGTTACTTAATGAGACTTTTTCTTCAATATAATCACAG